CAGTCATTCATTCTGCTTTAATTAAACTTGTAACAAAGATAAAATTAATTTTTAATTCCCAGCCAAGGTAATGAAGTTAGGGAGATGTTAAAAAGTGGGCATTTAGTCGAGTTTTACGATGATCTCCTCGGCGGCTGGAACTGGAACTCCGGAAGAGTTTGTCCAGATTATTTTTTGCTCTATTCCCCGGCGTCCCTTTAGAGTAATGAAGCGCTACACGCCCGCGGTTTTAGGGACGCCTCGCCGCCCTGGAAGGGGCGAAATAGGACGCCGAACAGGCCTCTCTCTGCCCGCGACGCTTACATCGAAAACAAAAAATTACGTAATTATTTTATCCAACTAAACTTTTAAATTGACCATACGTTCAAAAGTGTCGTAAAATTTGATGGGTTACTCTTAAATTTATTACTTCAAGATGAATTTTTCGATGTAGCCGCTCCTCTAAGTATTTATTTACTCGCATCAAAGAGAATTCCCTCTTTCTTTCCGCGTCAGTCTCAAGCAAGGATTTAATTTATAAAAATGCGGAATGTTTTATGATAATAAAACGGCGCTCAGATTAAATAAAAATGCTAAATAAAAAGCTCTCCCGAGAATTAATAACTTAGCAGGAATCTGGACTGGTGTGCTTCGTTAAGCTGCGAGTGGAACGGCCGGAACCCTCCCCTCCGCCCCCCAAACAAACATCAGGGAGTGTAATTCTCTTAATTATATTATGTTTTAACTACCCTTTTTGGAATAGATATTAATTAAGCTAAGAAATACTTAAATTTATAATGCCATTCCCTTGATTTTTTAAAAGAAACAACCACCGTTTTGAGTCTTATTCTATAATTTTTGCGATACTACTTCGTTTATATTATAAACGGGCCTTTTCGATTTTATGTGGAAAATTTCCTAATAATCTTAATAATCTTATCACATTTGAACAAATCGGAAGTAACTCTAAAATTTTTAATATTACAGAAAAAAATATTTTGTCAGATTGTTACCCTTATTTCAGTCTTAAATGTGCAATGTCAATCTAAACAACAGCGCAAAATTTACAACGTTGATTTGAATCACTGTAAATCAAAGGTACAAAATCAGAACAAAGAGATCCAAATAAATGGGAATTATTTATAAATTATATTAATTAAAATGAATTTAAAATACTTATGGGCTCGCATTAGCTAAAAATTTTCAGTTAGATAATATTTCCTTTGATTATGATTATAGGCGAATATTTGAAATTATGCCTTTTTAATTAATCGAAAGGTCAGTAAAATTTTTGCTCGATTAATATACACTGTTTACAACCTAACAAAAGTGTGAGAAATTTTCATAAGTTTTGATAATCTGTATTTTTGAGTTGTAGGATGACAATTTAAAAAATATTTACTAAACTTTCGTTAATACAGATGAAATTTCAAATTGACCGGTATAAACATAAGTTTAACACCAATAGCTGTCTGTTTTCTTTGTCTCCAGATTTTTAAATACAAAAATAGAGATTCATCTTATCTAAAAATTTATTGTTATTATTTATTATTTATATGATATTTTAAATTATACCTATCTTCAATGAATCGAAAGATCAGTAAAATTTTTGCTCGATTAATATACACTGTTTAGAACCTACAAAAGTGTAACAAATTTTCATATATTTTGAAAATCTGTATTTGTGAGTTGTAGGATGATAATTTAAAAAATATTTACTGAACTTTCGAAGTCAATACAGAGAAAATTTCAGATTGACGGGATATAAATATAGATTTAACACTAATAGCTGTCTGCTTGTTTTCTCTGCCTCCTTGGTCCTATATTGATTTAATTCACTATAAAATCAAAACAGAGGACTCCAGATTTTTAAATACAACAATAGAGATTCATCTTAACTAAAAATTTATTGCTAATGTTTGTTTTTATATGATATTTGAAATTATACCTATTTTTAATTAATCGAAAAATCAGTAAAATTTTTGCTCAATTAATATACACTGTTTAGAATCTAACAGAAGTGTAACAAATCTTCATAAATTTTGATAATCTGTATTTCTGAGTTGTAGGATGACAGTTTAAAAAATATTTACTAAACTTTCGAAGTCAATACAGAGAAAATTTTAGATTGACGGATATAAATATAGATTTAACACTAATAACTTTCTGTTTTTTTTGTCTCTGCCTCCTTGGTGCCATATTGATTTAATTCACTATAAATCAAAACAGAGGGCTCCAGATTTTTAAATACAAAAATAGAGATTCATCTTAACTAAAAATTTATTGCTAATATTTCTTTTTACATAATATTTGGAATTATACCCATTTTTAATGAATCGAAAGATCAGTAAAATTTTTGCTTGTGCACTGTTTGAAGTTTAACAAATGCGTAGTAAATAAAAACAGTTTCAAACTGTCAATTCGCTGCGTAAACAAAGCTTACGTGTTTTTTCGCGCGATGGCGTTCAGAACGTGCAGTTGACTCTGTGGTGAGGTTATGTCAGGATCGGATGAACGAGGATTTACGGGTTCCGGAAAAAATCCTTATTTGAAAGGAGTCGGGACGAGAGAAGTGAAGCGAGCGAATGGAAACGTAATGAATATGATAATTTTTCAATTATAAATCTAATACAAATATGTTAAATATCCGGTTAGCCTTAAGTCGAGCGTATTGAAAACCGTCATCCAGGCGATTAGTGCGACACCGCAATATATCGGTCCGTTCGAAATGAATCCATCCGATTAAGTTAAAGTATATCGTGGGGTTAGAATAGGGCCGGATCACCGTCCCCCCATGAGTAATTCGGTGGCAACGCGTGTTTCTACGATATGTTCGGAATTAATGAAAACGGTGTGCGCGGAATTCCCGCCCGCTTTGACGAACGCTTTCGACAAGTGTAAATGCCCCCTTTTGTTACTCTCTAAATTTGCATTTTTATTGAATCTCTAGCCACCGAGATTTGAATATAAGCCTCCGTGCTCACAAAAAATAATACGTCTAATATTGAGATTTCATCCGCCGTCATCCGCATAACTCGGCTCGTAATTAGATCTTTGCGGAATCAATTAAATCCACATTTTTCCGGCCGCCCGCGCCCCCGGTGTCTCTTAAAAACCGCTCACTCATTGCACCCGACGCCGATTTTGACATATCCCGCCTAATATGAGCCACAGGCGACTGAAAAATTTCAATGGATTAAAACCGCACCCGGTCAGCCGTCAGTACTTTTCTGTAATTTTTTCCACAAGATTTGCATGAATTAAAAAAATCAGTTTTGAACAGGGTTTTACCCTCTAATTAGGCTGAAAAAAGTGAAATATTGAAAAATAACATTAAAAATTTGCCACCGGAAGTAACGTATAAACATACAGGGTGTCAGAAGTTTGACTGCCCTAATTGTAACAGACGATAGAATACATTAAAATAAACAAAAAAACCTCATATAACATGGGTCCTAAACTCTCCTAAAAGCTCCAACTCAATGTACAAAAATTCGATTAATTAAGGATTATTAACATAACTGCGTGCATAGAATACCATAAAATCACTATTTTTATCTTCTTTATGCCTAATTTTAAAAAATAATTAGCGTTGTAATAAATTTAAAATACGATAAAATTCATATTGAGCAATGTGACAACGGCGCGGCGGATAACACGAGGTGGTAAGCTGTCCAGAAATACGTAATTCAGTTGGTATCTGGAATTGGACCGTATCTGAGTGTTTTTTGCGTATTACTATTTCCTTTTCTTGATGTTTGATGTTTCACAATAATAGTTGTTTACATTTTTTCCGTAGGACAAGTCTGCCGCGTGCACACGTGGTATGCACCAGCTGTGTAGCGTTAGGTTAAGCGCTGTTATCATGTTGTAATGAAACTCCCCAATATTAATACTCGCTGTATTTTGAAAACATAATCTTACGCCCCTGTAATATACAACTTTTTTGTTCATTTATGATTACTCTCATATTGAAGTAATGGCACTCAAACTTCTTACACCCTGTATAGTCTTTCTATCTCACTTATATAATTGCTTAATGTGTTGTTCTCGAAGTTATTTGAAATCCTAGAAAGAATTTGACGCTATGGATCTTAAAAATAATTGGTAGGTCTTTAGCAGGGTCCTTAAATGTATGGTATCTTATGCGGAGTATCGCCCCAATAATGCGGTCGTAACGGTAGAATTAAGCACCTTCACTTTCTGGAAAATCTAAATAAAGGCTTATTTTGGACTGACAAATACATCCATATTTTTAAAATATGAATTTATATAGGTATTATAATTAGTAAGGCTGTCAGAGAGAGCCTCAATTCAATGGCGTGCCAAGTGGGTCAACCGACACATGCTTGAGCTGTTACCTCAGAATGCTTTTCACGTTCACGTCACTTTAGTATACTGTTGTCTTTGTTATCTTGTTGCTTTTTAATAAATAATGCGTACGCCTATGTCTCGCGGCTCAATAGCTGATAGCCCTACTGATGAAACAATCTTAAGTAAAACGTGGCAACAAAACGATCTCTTTGTTTCATCTGTTTTTTTTAAGTATTGCCAAATTTATTTGGGACCGATGACAAATTTAAAGTGTAAAATTCCACGTGAATCGATGCCAAGGTTTTCTCTTCGACGTTGTAATACAACAGCGCAGATATTAGACTGTATACAATTGCGGATGAGTGCCCGACTTACTTCCCCTCAGTTGGCCGTCAATGGAACGGCGGGCGCGGGGGGTAACTGTGCCCGGTATGATGTATTGTCTAAAGAGGGTGTGCGGCTATGCCGTATAATCTTCTGACAAATTGAATTAGGGCGACGAGATACAGTGGGGGGCGCCACTTGTTTATAACAAACATCGTCATCGCTATTAGGATTTCCGGATCTGATTGATACGGGACGAAAGAGAAGAAAAGATAATTCTCCTCCGCCCCGTTCCGATAAAGTAAATTCGTTAAAATAAAACCTTATCGAAACATCGGTAAATCTGTCGTTAACTCATCGAGGAGTGAGTAACTCGAACTTACCTTCACTTGGGACTCGGTCATCCCTAAGGCGTAAGCTAGTTTCGCTCGCTCTGGCCCTGCCAGATATTTGGTTTGTTCGAAGGTTTTCTCCAGTGCGAATATCTGCTGTCCGGAGAAAGTAGGCCTCGTGTGTTTCTTTTTTGCGTCCTTGTCGCCTCCCAAGCCGCCCATATTGGTCTGGTTCACTGCAAATCAAAGCTACAATCAGAACTTTGCTAAAATCCGTTCAGGACGATTTTTTAATTAAATCCGACTACGTTAATATTATTTTTCGAAATACAACTAACTTTTATCGATTTCCTTATTAGTTTGGAGTTTATAGCTACTTAATTGCGATTAAGAACCCCTCTATAACGTACCCTATTTTAATGAACCGAAAGATCAGTAAAATCTTTATAATATTCCATTATAAAACCTGAAAACAGTAAACATTTTTATTACTTATCGAAAATCTATATTTCGAAGCACGTAAATTGACAATTTAAAATATATTTACTAAACTTTCTAATATAGTTCTTTTTTCATTGTCTTCTGTCATTTTTACATTAAATTCAGTTACAACTATTCCAAAAGCATTATATGAGCTGTTATTAGCTATAATAATATTTCCTTTGATTGTTTGAAATTATACATTTTTTAATAAATCGAAAGATCAGTAAAATTTTTGCTATATACCGTTTGAAGCCTAGCAAATGTGTTAAAAAATTTTATTTTTTTGAAAATCTGCATGAGCACAATTTAAAAAATCGTCAAGTCATTATAGAGATAAAGATAAGTTTAACACTAATAACAGTCTCGTGTCTTTCTTTCCTTTTTTTTTGTTTGATTCACTGTAAATCAAAACAACAGAGGCACTCACTTATTTAAAATGTAGATTCATGTTAGTTAAAAATTTATTGCTAAGTAATATTCCTTTGATTATGCGATTACTGACGAATATTTCAAATCACATGTATTTCAATGAATCGAAAGGTCAGTAAAATTTTTGTTAAGGGTATTTAATGACGTTGAACAGAAGTGCAACAAATATATTTTCAAACATATAGGAATTTTAATTTCTAGTGTGGTAAGGCTGTCAATGACATACATTTAACAGACATTGCTAAACAGATTGTTAGATATTGATTATTTATACGTTACTGCAAATTTAACTTCACTTTCGGATTTTCCGAAGTAAACGTCTTGTTAAAATGTCATTATTTCCGTATGACCAATTATTTACAGCTTTGTTTTACTTACTTCCCAGAAAATAATCGTTTAATTAGGTAATTAAATATTTATCATATGGCAGTATTCTTGTTTGGAAAGAGCGGTAAATTTTGAGAAGCGCAGGGAATTCACGGTTTCTCTATGAAGCTATAGATGCAGTAAAAATAATTCAATAGTTAACCAATAGAAAACACCAAGGAGACCGAGACAAGTGCCGCATACGGAATTCTCCCCGGAAAACGGGAAAATCAGTGCCTAACAGCGTAACGGGGATCTCTCTCTCTCTCTCTCTCTCTCTGGCGGCACATGTTACAAGAACTGAGACCGTTCGGTTGTTGTTCCACTAGCTCGACACGCAATGTCATTGCCTTAACATGTGTCGGTTTAAATCTCCTGTTCCAAATTCTGACAGCCCATATTAACACACTCTTAAAACTCTCTTTTCACGTCAAAATATAATTAAAAGTGTACCGGATTACCCCGGACCTGGGATTAATTTTTTTGCTCTCGCCGCAACCGGTAATTTTTTAATGAACAGGAAAATTAAAAACTAAGCCGCGACATTCCACATGTCACTTTTATTTCTCGTTAATAAAGTCTTTATATCAGAATCTCATTTATAAACAGCACCTGTTGGGAGGCTCAAACGCTGATTGACTATGTACAATTTTCAAGGGATTACAAAAAAATCAGGTCGGCTTTACCTTTGTGAACATCTGGTAATGTTTGGTGGCAAGTCTAATAATTGATAATTGATAATGACTTACATGCTAAATATTTAAGCTATATAAATTAGGCAGAAATAAATTGACAAAGTTGGAATACTGAAAAATAACTATTCCTAAAAATCCTTAAAACTGAGGAAAAAATCAGCAAATTGGCAATTGTGGTTGTGCTCGGGCATATCCGTGTTGACAATTTCATGACGATACCAGTCAGCCGTATCATTAAAAAAGAAGTTATAATACTTTGAGTAATTTTATGTTATTATGACTGGAGAGGTACTTTTTAAAATGGCAAAAGGGAAAAAGATCTGTTCTTACATAGGTTAACTTTTTCCTTTATCTCAAATTTTGATTGCGTTTTTTTGCATTTAAAAATGGCTACACAAAATTCGGGCATAATTTAAAAAACTATAACTTTACTTTAAAAAAATTATTTTAAAATGGACTTACCGTATCGTACATAGAGATCGTTTTCTGTAATAAAAATGATAGTTTAGTTTTTCAGTTTACTCAGTACAAGAACATTTTTTAATAAATAGAAACTAGTAAAATTTTGTTCAAATAGACTATATTAAGAACGATTAGTCTAATGTTACGAGGATCTAAATTAAAGTAACAGTTTTCACATTTTTCCTTTGGAAAGTGAGGCAAAAATTTTTAGGAAAATAATCTGGATTTAAAGTACAATTTTATATAAGAAATAGAAAAGCATCGACACGTCGAGTTGCAGAGAGAACGGACGGTAGTCAGATCCTCATCGATTTATATGATTTATAAAGACGTGTTCACTATTTTCACTGTAGTGGAATATGGGAACATCATATGAACATACGGTCAGGTCTCCCGAGCGAATATCCATTCGATATCGCAACGTCCCCGCCTTCCAAGACGCTGAAGCGAGACTATAGATGCATTATTGAATTTGTTCGGGGTTTATGTATCCCACGAGGGCCATCTTACGCTACATTCTGCGTTGTCAGCATATATAGATTATTATATAGACATCTGGTCTTCTCAATGTAGAATCTTACAAATATAAAAGTATCGACTGGGCCCGCAAGCCCAACCTGGACCATATTCTCGATAAAATCCGGCAGTTTTAAATAGAAAACACGGATTATCGGAGAGTAAAAACTCTAGAGTAAGTAGGTTTGAGGGCTAGGCGAGTTTGAGCCCTACACTCCTTCTTTTACATTAATTTGTACATCTGGATGAACCGATTTATCTTCGAAATCATACCTGCTAGACCAATAAATGGCTGATTTATTTCGTCTGACATAAATAAACTTGTTTTGGTATTAAACATGGCGCATGATTAATATCTGGAAGAGTCTGAACTAGAGAAACGAGCAACTATGAATGTAAAATGAAATAATAGAGGGAAGGTAATTTATAGATCCGTGTTTATATTAAATGGTAAATGGAGGTCTTGTTTAGTCGAGGTAGCATCTTACATTTCATGAAAGCACAATCATGGAATTATTCATACCTAATCAAGGACAACTCGCACAGACCTGGAAGCGTACTGCCGTTACCCGTACTCTTATACTTTCACACACAACAAACCTTACACACAGGCTTTAACAATGGAACAAAAATCGTAATGCACAATATAGGAATGTTTGAAACTGCTAAAAAATCATCGTCATTGGATGTAAGAAGTAATAAGAAGATTGGTCTACAAACAGACCAAATAAAAATTCAATCCAAAAACAAAAATGAAACTAACGAGAGAATTTAATAATAGTTATAGTCACAGTCTTCCAAATGTTTTAACTGAAGAAGATTTGGATTTAAGGATAGTCAAAATCCCTACCAAAAGAGAAACATTGAAATGAGTGTGCACAAGAATTTTTGTACCAGAGGTGAGCTACACATTTAGTCTAGGAACATTACGACTGATGTTGGACACCATTGTTTCTGTACAAATATATTTTCTCGGTATTGGCAAACGAACTGTCTTAGGGGTGACCAAGAGTTAGAAGTTCTGGGTCTATCGATAATTCAGATTCAGTCTAAATGAATGTAAACCTGAACGATTCTTGCTGCAAGACTGTTATGTGACTGACATGATGGAAAGGCCATTCGAAAGCAGTTCTGTGCAGTTAGAACGAAACTAATGTATGTCACAAAAGACTTCCAATTCTTTCAGTTGAGATTCCCACCAAAAGACTATCTCAAGAGAAACAGAAATGTCTTGAATCTCTGGATGCTGTAAATGCAATCCAAAATAATGTAAAACTGAACAGCATTGGAAAATATATTTTTTTGATAGAAAAAAGACGCAATTTCGAATTGGTCTGAAGCGATGAAGAAATTATGAATTTTTCAATTTGTCGTTTCCGTAACGGGGGGGCGCCCCCTCATCGCGACCATAGAACGGAATGATGCGACCAGTGAGGAGAGCGTGCCGGCGTAAAGATAAGCGAGATGGGGCGATGCTAAAGTGGATAATCTCATGATCCCGTTATCTAGAGATATAATTATTCTAACAGGGTGTCTTGCTTAAAACAGCTTGCTCGATCGGGCGGCGCCCCCACCCCTTGTTCGTTGCTAGGCTACCGCCTCCGGCGACCACAGAAACACTGCTACAATGGTGATGCTTGTAGAACACGACACGCACAACACTTCGCCGTGGGGAAGATGGATTGAGACGATAAGGGTCTCCCTCGCGCTCAGCCACTTCGCTGAGCCCGCTTGAGCCTCAATTTGCATTTGTAACTCTTTTAATGGTTGACCATCGTCAGTTATGTTAAAGACTTGCTAATGTCGCCCTAGTTTGCGCCGATAACATTTTTGGAAGATCTACGCCATTAGACGGATCAGCGGCGTATCCCGGGAACTCTCCCAACGGGGCAGTTTCCTTCAACTGCAAAGAAAACGAAAATGTTCATTTTCTAAAAATATATAATTTGGTCAACGAATTAGTTAATTTAAATCGGCAATTTCTTTCTTACTTTAATTTGGAATTTAATTTTACGTGTACGACATCGTTAATAGTCCAATTAAATAAGCCTTTAAATCGAAATTTTGTTCAACTTGCCTGAATTTTTGATATGAGTTAGTTTGAGGTATGTTATAACAATAAGTGACAGTCATTTTTTGTTTAACCCCCGGCCAAGTGTAAAAAAAGATAAAACAATAGGATTATTCAAGGTAACTCAAAACGGGTAAGGGCTAGAAAAAAAAGTTTCGTATAAAAGTTGTAAAGCATACAATTCTACATAAAAATGGCCATTTGACTTTTTCTTGTATTATTAAAATTAACAGAGTTAGGGAGGTTAGAAGTTAAGGGAAGATTTCAGAAATTTAAAAAATCATAAGCAGAAAAATGAATTAATTTTGTAATTTTTTTTTCGATGTGTTCTAAAAAATATAACCTTTCTTTTCAGAGAAATAGATATATTTTTTAATTTTTAATAAGAAAGTTATAACAATTTCAAATTTGTTGTTCACCCCCCTAAACAGAGATTTTAACGAAAACCTCGAAACAGGTCAATTTAATTTTGTCAATTTGTTTACATAAATCATATTTTTAATTCTTTTTGAGTAAATATGATTTTTTTATAAATAAAAAATATAGTTTTTCTGAAATAAAAAATAAGGGTAGCAACCCCCAAACACGGAATCACTTGCGAAATATTTGTTTTTTATCATAAGTAATTTCCATTTTGTTTCATTTCAAAATATTGATTAGAACCCCAGAAATTTTGAAAAAACTGTTTTGGGGGGCGAACTTTGAGGGTGTATTTCACCCCGTAAATATGTTTTTCCGCCGATAAAAAAATACGTGTCTTTACATTTTTTAGATTTAAAAAAAAAATACAAAATTCATTCGTTTTTCTGCTTGTTATGATTTTTTTAAATTTCTGAAATCTTCCCTTAACTTCTAGCCTCCCTAACTCTGTTAATTTTAATAGTACAAGAAAAAGTCAAGATGCCATTTTTATGTAGAATTGTATGCTTTACAACTTTTATAAGAAACTTTTTTTTCTAGCCCTTGCCCCTTTTGAGTTATCTTGAAAAACTCCTTTGTTTTATCTTTTTTCACCCTTGGCCGGGGGTTGAACAAAAAATTACTGTCACTTATTGTTATAATATACCTCAAACTAACTCATATCAAAAATTCAGGCAAGTTGACCAAAATTTCGATTTAAAGGCTTATTTAATTGGACTATAAGCGAAAGAATAGGAAAGAGGCGGGAAGGGTGGTCAAAATGAAAACGATATTTTGTGATGCAATAAAAAAATTGGAAAATACCCCATTCCAAGGGGACATAATGTCATTCTATAAAGTAATAAAAATACGTATAAGATAAAAATGTGCTGCAACTACACTTTTTAGATATTCTCATAAAAAAATCTAATGGTGCAAAATCGGGTGATCTTGCTGGCCACTCAATTGGGCCCCTTCTTGCAAAGCTCTTACCACGATACTGACGTCACTGGGCGATGACGCGTCAAATGCGATGCCTTACGAATGGTACTTATGGAAAAACGGTTTTTTCGAGTTGTACGGGTAAATCGGCTTGTTATTAAGTTCGGGGCGTTAAGAAAGCATGCGAGCAATTGGGGGGTGACGTCGGATAGTCGGAGTGAATTTAGCGTACACACACGGCTGCTGAAGGCCGTAAAAGTTGCTGGAATGACGATGGGGCACATGACAGCCCGTTAAATGTAGCCGGGATGAACAAGTAATTCAGTACGGGGCTCTTCAATTAGAGAAGTCGGTTGTTGTATGTTGAGGTCATCGTGTCTCCCGCGTCCCGGTGATGCCGGGAATACTGTTTATTACCGGCCATAAGGTACAATGTTGTCTTAATTAAGTTTGTTCCTTGGGATTGTCATTTTTCTCCCGGTTTTTGTACGTCTTTTCGATTTACTAAGAAATTGCGTTATTTTTAATACAATAATAATACAGCTGTGGACAAAAAAGTTTGGGGGTTGGGGACTTTTTATCGTCCGCAGCTGTATCATTTGAAACGCGTCCCGTGTGGTGCGTAATTAAAAACTGGAAAGTTTAATGCGTCTTATCTGCTCGATTATTGCAATCGTGATTGTTTGGAGAACATCAAAATAGAACACATATCCCTGTTTATGAAATGATGATTATTAATTTAGAATATAAAGCGACATATGCGTTTCTTCATTAGTGAGTTGATTACGCCGTATCAATACTAATTTCGTTATCGCGTTAAGAGGCACATATGTTTGCAGCATTATTACATCATATATCACAATATACAAGTTTAGGTGTATTGCGGCCGGTAGACTAGAGGCGAAGGCCTCGCCCAATCGTAGGGGGGGCAGAACGTATAATGACCGGTGACGTATGTGTTATTTGTTTGGCGCCATCTGGCAGTAGCGTTATTAACTTGGCAAATCAAACATGCTCCAGACATTAATTATCGGGATCTGATAGCTGTCGTCCGATTCGAATCTTGTTTTCAAACATTTCATAATATTTTATACTT